AGTTTTGTGTTGTGTGTCAGAACAATGAGGCGACTGCTGTCTCCAGGTAGAAAAAGGAGTGATACACCTGCTGCTGTCAGACCTGCAGGTATCAGGCTGTGATGTTCTCCTTTATAGTGGAGAGAAATTATTTTTTCGCAGTGGTACAAATAATTTGTGTGGCATCTTATTGAATGCAGAACAGCTGATTGTTCTGTAAATAGTTTGAAATGGTTAAAAGAAAAAGGTGAAAAGTAAACAGGTGCAAATAACTTTGCAAACGTTGTGTTTAGGATTTTAAAATTGACAATTTATATTTGCATTTAAAGTTATAAAATATGATTCATTAAACGTTTGTGGTTGTTAAAGTAAAAAAAAAAAACTTTTCCTACTCGGATTTTATGTTTTTTGTCTGATTTTAGATCAATTGTGTTAATACAGTATGTCAAAATGAAAACATAACTGTAAATTCAGACACGTGAGGTTGTGCTGAAAAGGATGATACCAAACAAGGCAAAGTAAATAGTTTTTAAAGGTGAAAAGTAAAATCAAAAGTAGTCAAAAATGGCCAATTATACCCTGGATCCCAGAGGACTAAACTATTTTTTAAAGTAAATAGTTACTTTTAGAATCTTGTAACTCAGTTAATTTTTGGAAGAAGTAACTAGTAACTATAATGAATTACCTTTTCAAAGTAATTTGCCCAACACTGCACTCCAGTGACGTTGAGTGCAGATAAAAACATATTTTATTTATGTTGATTTCTCAGTTATAGCAGTACTGACAAGTGTCAGCAAATCAGGTGACTCCAAGCACTGTAATGGTCAATTCCACTTCTTTTTCAATGATATCTATTACTTACTCCATTTTAACACTTAACATTTCTTCCATTCTCCTTTAAATGTTATAATAATTAATAATTCCTTCAATAGCTATTTTGCATATTTATATATTCAGTGAAATCCAAAATGTGGTGGATTTTTTTTCATTGCTTAAAAGCTGTAAAAACTGGGACAATTTATAATTGAAAATAATATTGAAAATTTCACAGGAGCTCACACATTCGTTGTACAAAATAATAAGAGCAGTAAGAAAGATACCAGATACCAAAATTTTACTTTCATTTATTTAATCGTGCTCTTTTTTTTGTCTGTTTGTCTGTTTGCAACAATTCTTTTAAAAAATGGCATCACTCCACTCTGGTGTTCAACATGATGAACTGTATTTCAGAAAGATATTTATTTAAGTTACACAGTTACTCCTGCTTTCTCACAAATACTTCTTTGAGGCTTTAAGCAGGACTGATCAAACCAACACTTCAGATCTTTATTTTCAAATTCCCCTCCCATCCTCACACAGTCCTCTCCATCACGATCTCCCTCTGTCACGTTGTTTGGCTCTTTGCCAGCCCAAAACTTCAAACTAAAAGATGAAGAACAGAAAGAAGTAAAAACTGGGAATATTAATTCTGGAAATGGAATTTTTTTTCACAACAATCAAACCTTTCATCCAGTAGTGATCCGTCCACCCACAACCATCTGCCCTCTACTGCTGAGTCTGTCAGTCCGATCCAGAACATGTCCTCACCTTCTTTCATTAGTTCTCTCACTCTTCTCTCCAGGAATGCCTGATCACAAAAAGATGAAGAAAATTACCTTATCTGATAGTTCTGTGCTGAAACATGTGGAAACATGACTAGTGTTTCATACCTGCTCCTCCCTGCTGTCTATCTTTACCAGGTCTCCTCCTTTAGCTTTACACTCATCTCTGCTCTGTTTCCAGGATGATTGACTGATGGAGAAGTAATAGCACTTTCCTCCATGTTTCTCCCAGCCTTCTTCACATTTATAAAATGAGCCATCTTCAAAGAGATTACAGCAACAATTTCAGTCACATGGCAAAAAAA